CTCCTTGTACATGGAACTGGAGCTATATGTGTCCACTGAGCAGGGCGCTGTCCACTATAAGCACTGGTGTTTTCGCAGTGCAGAGAAAAACGGGACTTTTCACACACAGCACAGAGAAACTACACAGAAACCCTCCTCCATTGCAAGTGTGTAGAACTGGCCGGAGCCCCTCTAAGTCTGTGTAGATCTGGTCTTCTGTGCTAAACATCTGGAACGGCTCAGGGGACAGCTCAGCCCACCATGATCTCAGACAGAACACAAGCCCGGGCCTTTCCAGGACGAGACACACAAAGGACTTGGAGGAAGGACTGCCTTCTTGCTAATGGAGGGAACATCCAAGTATCTAAAAGCTGCCATCCTTAAACCTCAGGGCCATAAGAAATCAGGAATGCATATCTTCCAAACATTGACCTCCATGGAGAGCTGACTTCTACTTCCTGGTCACTAAATAGCCCTTCTGTTATGAAATGCCAACAGTTCGGATGACAGTTGAGGTTTAAAATTTGTTTCTTCCTTTCTTTAAAGATTTATTTTTACACGTGTGTGTGTGTGTGTGTGTGTGTGTGTGTGTGTGTGTGTGTGTGTGTGTGTGTGTGTGTGTGTGTGTGGTTCTTTTTTTTGGGGCAGTGTCTATGTGTCTGGCTATGCTGTGTGAGTACCACAGAGGACAGAAGGAGACATCAGATTCCCTGGCTCTCCTTACACCTTCTGAGGTGACAAAGGTCTCTGTGAATGGTTATCATAGGAGAGCAGAGTCAAAAACAGACTGGGTTTGGGTCCCACACTCACACAAAATCATAAACACATACACACACATACACACACCAAGTCATAAATACACACACACATACATGCACACACACATACACAAAGTCATAAGCACACACACCAAGTCATAAACACACACACGAAGGCATACTGTCAAGATAAACGAGAGCTCACGCCAGGGCTTGTGCACGTGGCTTTGAATGGAAATACCTGCACAGCAAGCGCCAAGCCCTGGGTTCCACCTCCAGCACCTCCAGCGTAAAGCAGCTGGACCCGTGTACACCTGCAACCCCAATACTAGCGCAGCAGAGAAAGGAGCGGCAGAACTTCAAGGTCATTCTCAGACACATTTGGGATTCGAAGCCAGCCCAGGATACAGAAAACTTTAATCTCAGCACACAGGAGGCAAAGGCAGGTGAATGTCTGAGTTCAAGGCCAAGCTGGTCTACATAATGAGTTCCAATCCAGCCACAGCTTCATACTTCATAATGTCTAAAAAAAAAAATCTATAAACAAAAAAGTACAATGCATCATTCCATTATTATGAGATGTGTTTGACATGCCAATGCCTGTGTAAAAATAGGCAAGTAAATCCAGAAAGACACAACAGGAAACACAGAGCTGTCGGTGGCTGGCGACAGGCTGCCAAGGCTGTGAATTTTGGTTTCTTTCTGTGGCCCTGAGCATGCTCTAGCTTCCCTGCTGCAAGGGCAACCATGGACCCGACTACTCTAAATGCATGCCCGGGGTGGTATGTGAACTGCATCTCCATTGCTTGGTCAGAACAAAGCAAGGCCCTGGTGTGGTCCAGGCCCGTGTCATTGTAATTCCAAGCCGTAAGAACTGTCATTTCAGAGGTATGGAACATCCAGAAAATCTGGGACAGCCCCAGCAACCTGCATTTTGGCAAGCCTGCAGGTACTGAGGTAAGAGACCCCGGCTCACCATAAGTGGCTGTCAGCCTTAGCTGTACCCTGGATTCACCCAGGCAAATTTTAAAAGCTAGACTCACACACTAGCCACAAAGCAAACCAAGTGGGACTCCAGGAGGAAGCCCAACCACAAGATGCTAAAAGTTCCCATTTGCCTCCTGCACAGGCAGAGTGAAAGCCCCTCTGAGAGTCGCACCTCTACACACACACACACACACACACACACACACACACACACACATACACTCGCTCTATGGTACCTTTAAGAATGTGTCCTAGGGGCTGGGAAAGGTGTCTCAGATGGGAAGGTACTTGCACACAAGTCCTGAGTTCAAATCCCCAGAACCCAAAGAAAGCCAAATATAATAGGTCTTGCCTATAACCCCAGCATTTTTACAGCAAGATGAAGGGTAGGGACAGGAGATTCCTTGAAAGCTCAGGGCCATCTAGCAAACAAAAGACCCCACCTCAACATAAGGTGGAAGGAGCCAGAAAGGTGGCTTGGCCAGGAAAAGCATTTGCTGTTTAAGCCTGATGACACAAGCTCAATCCCCAGATACCACATACAGGTGGAAGGGGAGAACTTCTGAGACTAGCATGCTCACTGTGACATAAACCCCTTCCCATCATACACACACTAACAGTTAATAAAATTACTTAAAAAATAAATAACAGGGTCTGGGCAAGACGTCTCAGCAGGTAAAGGCACTTGTCACCAAACCCAACAACTTGTATTCAATCCCCATGAAATGTACTAGTGGGAGAGAATAATCCTAGAAAAGTAGTAC